TGAAGAACTTTAAAGGGTCCTTCGTATGTCATTTTGAGGAGTCGTCGCAGTGAGTTGCGACGTACAAAGAAGTGTTTACTTTATTGTATGGCAGGTTGAAAGAAAATATCAGTTGATTGTGGTCTAGTGGAAACATGTTTGACTGAACGCATAGTGCTTGTAAGCCATCTCGCGTAAGAGATTAGAGTCATATTTATTGAATAAGATGAAGGATCCACGAATTCTACTAGAGGTCGAAGTGTCGTTCCATAAACGAGTTGAGCTACCGTGTATCCAATGTCAAGTTTTGTTGCATTGCAAACACCGAGTAAAACAAATGGTAGAGCGTCGGTCCACTGCGAGACGTTTCTGCTGAGAGTGACGTTTTAAGCTGTTAGTGGAAGCGTTCTACCAACCAGTTTGCTTGTGTGTCGTAGGCGATCATTCTGAATCACGTGATTCCTAATAGAGTAGCTAGACGGCAGAAAAGTTCAGATTTGAACTGACGTCCACGGTGTGTAGTGATAGTCGAAGAGCAGCCGAAGTTCGCAACACATAGTTTGACGAAGGCACGAGTCACTGCTTCAGCACTAACGTCTTTGATGGGTACAGCTTCTGAAAATTGAGTAAAAGCATCTGTTTAACACCTAGTCAGTCAGCTACAACGTAGAACCAGACACATATATGCATCGGTCCAAGTTGCCACACCTCATTAGCACAACGAGATGAACACCGAATTCATAGAAGTAGTTAATTCAATGGTGGTAATATATAAAATAAAGACTGCATATAAGGATATAATACATGAAGAAAGAATTAGTTTGTAGAAGGAAAAGTATAAAGCAATTTTAATCTCATAGTTCAAGAGAAGACAGAGAGTGTATAAATCTACGCCCTTGTGATCAATTCTGAGTCATGTCACCCAGAGTCTCGAACCATCGGTTACGATAGTAAAAATACTGTCGAATCAAAACGAACATGGTCGAAAGGAGTTTCGAAAGACGTTAAGGGCTATTTGTTATATATAATCACCCTGGATTTCTGGCGGCGTACACTGGAGCGTGACCACTCCCTATCGTTCTTATTCTTACCGGGCCAGCAAAATCGTTAATCTATGAGCTTGATGGTTGCACGAATATCTGGATGAGAAAGGCGTTGCGTCGATAATGTTTCGGTACGATTGGGCGATCCCTACCAGAAGATGTGTCACAGTGAATTTACCTTACTTGTTCCCATCTGCTTTGAGCGTAGTTTCAGGGTTAGTGAAGGTAACCTGTGTGAAAGTCCAGTGTTTTCTATTTGAAGCTGGTCGAGCTTGAGTGTGTCAATTCCTTGGAAACTATTCAAGGAAGCTATAGGATACAAGACGACGACCTTTGTACGAATCTTAAACGACCTTGACAATTATTAGCCAATCAGAAGACAGTTAGTATAAAGTGGGAATATATTGTAAGTAATGAATTACAGTGGATATTCTTCTCCTACATGATTTCAAAACTTGTTAAGGTTTGATAAAGGTTCGGAGGCCCTGAATTCATAATGCAACTTAACCCTAACCCTAAACCTAACGCTAGCCTGACCCTAACCCTAATCGAGTTTCTATACAATATGCATTATGAATTTAGAACTTCTGAGCCTTTATCAAACCTACACAAGTTTTGAAATCATGTAAAAGAAGAGTATCTACTGTAATTCATCACTCTCTTGTAATATATTTTTACTGTATACTGTCTTCTGATTGACTAATAATTGAAATTGCTCAAACGCTTCTCATTGGCTCGTCCCTAAATTAGAGTTTCGCCGTCCCATCTGTTTTAACCTCTCATTAATCACCTCCTCTCTAAAATCCGCTGTGAGCCGACCGTATGTTAGCATCCCGTGTTGAACTTGGCTCCGTGACCTTGAACTTGCTCAAACGCTTCTGATTGGCTCGTCGCTAAATTATAGTCTCGCCATATAATTAATAAAAGTGAATAACAATACACCATAACTATTATTAATATACCTCAAGCCCACAGATGTGCACCAAACTAGAGAGGAGAGCCGTTTTTGCTTCTTGGAACGAGACAGTACAATGAAATGGGCTTTTGGATAGAATACAAATATGGGGGTTGTCTCAGTTCGTCACATGTTCACAATGTGTGTTGTTTGTGTCCTAGAAATTTCTTTGAATTCCCGCTTGTTATGAGGAACACTAGAACCGTGCATTGTGACGGATAGTGCGTAGTGGATGTGTTAAGAGTTTTTTAGACGAAAAAGTTTATTTATGTGCGTACAGCCCTTGGTATTCGAGATTTAGTGACCCGAAACAAAGTCGAGAAAGCAATGAGTTTTAAAAATGGTTTTATAATAATAATTTATACTAAAATAACAACATGTCTGTCCCTGAACCGTGTTGCAGATTGATAATATTAAGGAGTTGATCTAAACTATGTCGATCAGTTAGGTCATCACGTTTCATGATAGATCGTTCTTAAAGTTTCGTAAGGTCTCGAAACATCACTAGTAAACATATTAGGTGTGACGTACCTGTTAAATCCGCGCGGTAGTGCCCTTACTAATACGAAGAATTGTACATATGTATCGGTCATTTCGTGCTCATAGAAGTCGGCATTTGTGTAGCGGATCCAGGTTTCGATATTGTCCGTCCTAAAGGGCATTAGCTGAAACGGTGATGTTGTAGAATTAAGGTCTACTATAATATTAATACTGCTCTAATAATAGACCTAATCCTAAATTTGTAATTTATCATGATATAACTGCCTAATCTATAAGATTTTACGTGGAAGTCATACCATCGACTACACCAACTCACTGTATCGTATCAATTACCAATAAATGATGTAGAACAAGGTTAGGCTAGAGAAAGAACAATATATTTAATATGAATAGAAGATATAAGGTAACATTGAGAGGGACCACGCCTGCATGGCCGAGCCATGCCATTCGATCAACTCCAATTCATTCAATACATTCTTCCCGCCTTCTCCATCGTTAGGTGTTTCTCCGCGTTAAATATTGAATACCTATTTTCCGAGTAGTCTTGTGTTCAGCTTTGAAGATTGTGTGGTTATGGTGCAATGTCACTACAAAGACAAAGACATTTCAAACAAGCAAGAAGCCAATGCAAAACATCAATGAAAGAAAATAAGATTCAGTATCATATCGTACTAGTCGACTAATTTGTCTCTATTCCGAAAAGTTTATTCCATCATACAGCCTCTGACGAGTCAAAACCGGAGTTTCCTAGTTGTTAGGTACTAATGGTCCAACGAAAAACGACAGTGACGCCGTAGAGCTCCTAGAAGAACTGTTCTTTCATGCATATAAACCGTCACATACAAACTGCATTTCAACAGGAACCTAAGGGGCGAAACAGAGTGCTAGATTTGCGCATTATAAACTGCAGCATCTAAACAAGGACACTTGTCCTGGTCTGAATGTGGTTAAGTTTAGTGCACTGGAAGATGATGCGTTTATCTTGTCAATACTGTTTAGTGTTATGTTCTTACGATCGCTAATCCAAGTCAGAGTACCAGACAACTGAGAACTGATGCACATCTCATCATTTTTCAAAAGACATTTAAGCATCTGTTTGGAAGCACCTCACGCAATACCCCCGAAGGCTGTGAAGTCTTTGCTACCCACAAACGTCTTCATATCCCAATAACGGAGTTTCAGACAGGATCACTCCTAGATAACCACCCTTTTTATCTCGGTGGACAGATGGGCAGTAATCTGTGGTCGCAGGGGAAAGGTTTATTCATATACGATGGTTTCTCAAAAGCTTTCTATAGGGTTGATCAATAGGGTAAACGCGCTAGGTCTCAAGGTACTGTTAATGGGCTGGTTCACTTAGAATCTAGGTAATCAACTTTTCAGGGTTCAGATAAACTTGACTTTTTTTCAGACTACGAGATGTCCTAACAGTAACCTCCAGTACTCTGTACTAGGGACTCTTTTCCTTCTGATTTTTATGTAGATGACCTTCACGAGCAAGTATAATATGAGTTATTGTTTTTCGTGGACGATTTTAAGCTTTGAAGGGAAGCCTGGAGCCACGATAACAAGCAAGTACATCAAGATTAGCTGACCTCATGTCAAAGAGTAAAGTGGCCTGTCCAAGATATGTTGATGACTACGCATACAACTTAGTTTATTTCCCTCTGGAAGTATTTCGATTTTAAAAGGATACTCGCGCGCGCTTTTGAAGGTTGTAACTTTTTTTCACGTGGTATTATTTTATTTTCCTATTAGTTTTTCTCTTTAATTTAACACTTAATAGCGATAAATAATTCGTCACTGATAGGGTTCTATCAACTTGACACCTTATTTAGGAACTCAACGTCATAAATTAATCTTGCTAATTCTCACGCTATCTCTATCACCAATTAACGTTAATATATTTTCTCTTAACTAATACTGGGTCTGATCCTACCATAAAACTTTACACGTTCACTAAGTTAAATTACAACTATCGCCGTCCACCTAATTAAACTTTGTATTTACATTACTTCCGATAATGTCCAGGCCATCTAAAAAACATATAATCTCTCCTGATGCCTATAGCACCTGCAAAAGATCTAAATCAGTCACTAAAGCGAATAATGTGAAACCTTATAAACACACTGATCAGTCTGCATCCTACTCTGATCTTCCCTCACACACTAAACGTGCACCGTTTACTTGGACAAGACATATCACTACCTTGCATCTCGCTTGTCGATATAAATAAGAGCAGTCACATACCGTTAGAGTCGACATCATTTGTCAGTCCAAACAAAAACACCACATGTTGTGAGCAGTATTTAGACAGTGCTGTTGACCCCAAACACTATGCGTCGGTAATCTTATCACTAGCCTATTGGTTATCATTTAGATTCCAGTTCTAGTGTAAAATGTAAAATGATCATAAATGATCTGGAATTTCACTTTAAGTAGCTGTTCACTCTGCGTTCTTTTTAAGTACATAATATACGTATGCCAGATCGCAGGCTTTTTGTGTTCGTTCGATCTTCACTATGAGTACTGAAGTCTTTATCGGTATATCGTACCTGAATTTTGTAGAGGATAATGATGGCGAAAATGAAATTGCGGAGTCTCACTCTGGTTTTATGACTCAGAAACAAGTAGTGAAGATATCTGACAATCCCAATGGTCATCTTCATAAGGATAGTTATAGCGGAGTCACGAATTTTACCAAATACAACAGCGAAAACTCGGATACTGGTAATAATGCGAATCCTGTTGAGAAGGTTAGTCCTATATATCACATACCAGTTTTGAGTTTATAATGTAACATGAGTATTTAAATTTTTCTATTTGAAACAAAAGAAATATTTATGAAGCTGATTGGTGCTTTGTGCGATAACAATGGTAATGGAAACTGTTGTATTTTCTACTTACACCGAGAACGCTGCTAACATAACTCACATTAGATATACAGTGACACTGATTTGTTCACCCGAAAATTCTGTCCCGAACTATCAGCGAGAACAGCATAAAGCTAACGATGTACTCAGGCTTAAAACTTACACTGTGCAAGTTCGCATTTAGTGCGTTGGATGGGTTAGGATAATATTAAAATTCCATAAATCAGTTGTTCAGAATACATGCATTATAGATATATATCCTGAACCACACAACAACGTGTTCCATAGTTTCTCCTTTCCATTTATACACCCATTTATAAGAGGCCCGTTCAATTAAAAGCCTACTTTACACATGACGATTCAAAATATTACTTATCATCTTTAAATAGCCACCAATGTGGTTTCCGGTAATAGCTTTAATACGAAGTTGTTAATTTTGGCGAAGTATCTGATGTTGTTCACTGAATCAAAGTTTATAATTTTCCCATCTCCACTTTTGTTTCCTCATACTAAGAATTCTTCACAAATAAATTATCTTATGTGTTAACGCTGAATCCCTAGATGAATCAGTACTGAAGGTGATTAGGGCTTTCCTTCTCACAGTAAAATGATTGGTAAAGCATATAAATTATCCGCATACTGTAAAGTTAGTTTTTGACGGAATTTATTAAGTCACCTCAACTATATTTTGCAGACTTTGGATGGGGAGCGTAGTTATCAGAATTTTCGTAATGGCCGAAAAGTCCATGCCCCACTAGCTGTTCTCGTGAATCGTTTAAATACATCTTCACTTAGTGGTTCTTTGACAGCTATGCAATACGTTAGCAATGCCATTGAAGGGAATAAGTCGAATGTCGAACAAGTCTTAACGACCCTTGAGAATTCTTTAGACTTATCGGAAAACCTCTGCCAGAAAGCAATTTTAACCCAAATATTGGATCTTGATGTGAATCACTCTGGAAAACCTAATGTTAGGAGATCTTGGGATTCTTCTTCAAACAAGGTAACATTTTCAAAATAGGAACTCTGCTCAAACTATTTCATTACCCTCCGTAAGATATTGTTCACAAATGAGAGTATAATTATTTCACTGTCATCTAGTTGTTATAGTTTTCTAATGAGTCTCCAGACAACCTGTGTACAATGTGATGTGAAATAAGCAAATTCCGACTCATAAAATACTTCATATTGACCTACTAAAATCTCAGGCTATTATTGTATTAAGTTCATATGAAAAATTGTCACACTTCTTAATGACAACAAAAGGCGACAGTGAATTGGATACAAAATCAAAATAATTAGGGTTATTTTTCAAATAATTGATTCATTGAGTAGCTGTTGCCACTGATACGTCACACCATGTATTAAGATGTTTTCGTCACTGAGATAACTTTCCATTTTAAACTCATGCTTCACCGATAATGTATTGCCTCACCAATCTGACTTGCATAACAATAGAAGTCCATCGAACTGTTCGCAAAGCCTCACCTAGCATATGTTTCGTGTATCCTCTGTATTTTAAAAACTGAATCGACTGTTAAGTTTGTTCTCATTCTCATTCATATAGAAAAGTATAAAGTTTTATTGTACCCATGTTTTGTGCCAAATTAACTTTATTTTTATTCAAAATACTTTGGTTCCAATCCGGTATACTAATCATTTCATACTAAACGAATTCAGCCTATTTTATAATATTTTGTGGCCTATTGTAAAAATGAAGACAAAAAAGAATTCCTATAAGAAATTTCGATAATTATGACACCTTACCAATATCCCAAGTTTGCATTTTTGCTTTAATTCATTGCTTCCTTAACGTGTAGTCGATTTTTGAGTACATTGATAAAAATGTGTGTATAATGTTTCACGTATTTAGACAAACGCTACTCAGGAGTGTGAAGACTTAAAGTATGGTGAGGCACCTCAGTCCTTACTTTTAGATCCAACTAGGAACTTGGAAGAATTCATCATGAAACCTGCTCCTCAGGTAAATGTAACAGAACTATTTTATATTGTCAATTATCCAATTATTTCCAAATTGCAATTGTTATGTTCAATCACTCAGCTTAGCTACTGTATATAGCCTATACACCTAATTGTCCTAAATTGGAAAGGAAAAGAAAAGGCAGTACTCTGTAGAAAGCCATATTACTGACTAGGTACGAGACAACTCAGGTGTATTTAGATAAATTGATCCTAGAATTGACACATGGGTATTGGATTTAGCTAAATATATGATAGGCTTACTGATTGTAGGTCACCCTCGCTTAAATCGGACTTACCATATGGCTTTTCTGCTTTCATTTATAATTATGGACCAGAGGTGGGAAAAAAGCTGTGTACGAGATTATCCGTGAAAGCTGCTAAGTATGAGATAATTTGAACGTGACATTTTTTACTAAAATCTTGAAACATTTTATCCGAAGGACTTGTTTTGCTGTCTCAAACAAAATATTTCCTGAATACAATGGACCAGTAAAAAACTACATATTCATACTCATTTTGTTGATAATACGATTATTTATTTATTATTTATTTATTTGAACACATAAATATTGGTACAAGAGAGCGCCAATATATATGCGCCACACAAAACAATGGGAATTCGAAGAGAAGTAGAAAGAGAAAAAAAAACTAAGGAACGCAAAAGAAAAAGAGAGTAATGACGAAGAGGTACAATCAGAAGAAATCTTTCAGGTAAGGGAGACACAACCACTTTTTATGAAGAAAGTAAAAGAAGGTTACAGCAGGATCGCCACTGGCTTCTATTCTGAGCCATATCTGATAACGTCTCTAGCCACTGTGTAGCACCATCTCTCGGACCCCAACCAGGGAGTCGTGAAGGACCAACACAAGCCAGTCCTTTGCAGCTTTCTTTCATGCCACGACACCATGTCATGCACTGACCACCTCTCCGCTTCTTCCAACCAGTCCCAGAGTCGGCAAATAATGCACGACGTGGAATTCTCTGGGACGACATTCGGAGAACATGTCCAAGCCACCGAAGTCGGTGTTTCAAGATGGTGACACCAATTGAGTTATCATCTCTGTGCCCGAACACACGATGCCGAACCTCTGCATTACTGACATGGTGTTGCCACTGAATGTCAGCAATCCTTCGGAGACAGCGATGATCGAACACAGAGAGTCGTCTAACGTCCTCAACTCGGAGAGGCCAGGTTTCACAAGCATAGAGCAAAACTGCTCTCACCGACGCGTTGTAGATCCGACCTTTTACAGCCAGACTAACATCACGAAGGCGCCAAAGGTGGCCCAGATTGGCATAAGCCGCTCTGGCTTTCACTATTCGTGCATTGATCTCATCACTCACACCCCCACCAGCACTTATGCAGCTACCCAGATACACGAACTTCTCAACTACGTCTATCTGCTCACCGTCCAGGGTGAGTACAGGATTAGAATCCTGCCAGTCTTGTAGAAGTACTTTGCACTTCGAAGGTGCAAAGCACATACCATACCTACGGACACTGATTGCCAACTGATTAAGTGCGGATTGCATGCCTTGGGCATTATCGCACAGTAAGACAATATCGTCCGCATACTCAAGGTCGAGAAGTCTTTCTCCAGGCAACAGATCCACACCACCATTACTTACATTCATCAGAGCTGTTTCCAGAATGTCATCGATGGCAAAGTTGAAGAGGAATGGTGAGATTGGGCAACCCTGCCTAACCCCACTGCTCGAATGGAACAATGGAGAGAGGTGGTTGTATGCCCTCACTCTGCCTGAGGTGTTTTTATACAGGGCTTTTAGGATGTTAATAAACTTCTCAGGCACACCCTTCTTCAATAGACAATCCCAGAGAACAGTCCTATCCAACGAATCGAAGGCAGCCCTGATGTCAAGAAACACTACGATTGTTGGCCTTTGAAAAGTATGGCGGTGTTCTAACATTTGGCGGAGGGTGAAGATATGATCAATACATCCTCGACCAGAACGAAACCCAGCCTGCTCCTCGCGAGTCAATCTTTCTCGGGTTTTGAACAACCTACGAAGAATGACGGAAGCCAATAGCTTGGACGCAATCGGAAGTAAACTTATCCCCCGATAGTTGTTACAAGAACGACGTGAACCCTTTTTAAAGATAGGGACAACTATCGACTCATTCCATGACGTTGGTACACTCTCTAGTTCCCAAACCTTTGTAAACAACGTCGTCAATTCCTTAGTCAAAAAGTCACCACCATCTTTAAAAAGAGCCGGAGGTAAGTCATCTGGGCCAGGTGATTTGTAACGCTTCAAGAGTTGGAGTTCCTTGCGGACTTCCTCCTCATTTGGTGGATCAGTCGTCACCGGCCATGGAGGGCAGGACAGTCTGACCGATGTTGCCGGAGCAGCAGGCCAGTTGAACTGCCCTTCGAAAAATTCTGCCCATCGTCCAAGACGTCGATGGATGTTAGTGATTGGCATCCCATCATCCTCGCAGATTGTTTCACTCACACCAGACTTCTTGCTGCCAGTGGCTCGGATGAGCTGGAAGAGCTTCCGGTAGTTACCAGATGCAGCTGCTGCTTCCAGCTCATTAGCACGCATCGACCACCAGGCTTCTCGGTCCTTACGCAAGCTTTGCCCAATTTCCTTACGTAACATCCTTCGTTTATGGTCAAACTCACGGTCACCCGGAGTAGACCGACGGGCTTCAATGAGTTGTAAGGAACCAGAAGAAACCCAGTGCTTAAAAGCGGGACGTTTCGCAAACCCACAACTGACTGTTCCCGCCATTTTCATGGCGTCATGCAATTGCAACCAATGCTCATCTATACTTTTCGGTGGAGTGGTAGCTAGCCTAGAGGCTAGCTCGGTTCGATACTTACTTGCAACAGAAGTTGCAACCAGCTTGCTAACATCAATCCGTTGATGGCGTTCACTTCGTTGTCCACTGAAAAGTAAGGCAAGATTGGCGCAGACCAAGGCATGGTCAGAGTCCAGATAGGTACTCCAAAAGGAGCGGCAGTCTTGTACACAACCACGCCAGCGGTAGCTGATCGCGATGTGATCAATCTGAGTCCAGGCTTGAGATGCAGAGGGAGGACGCCAGGTGGCACATCGGCGATGACTGTGCCGAAAGTTAGTGCTAGCCAGAAACAGGTTGTGGTCTGTGCAAAGTTGCAGTAGACGGTCCCCGTTATCTGACCTGCGACCAACGAGTCCCCATCGGCCACCTAAACGACTCTCTTCTGTGCCTAGACGCCCGACCTGAGCATTCAAGTCTCCGGCTAGTACTACAATATCTGTCGAACGCACTTTCTGGAGAAGAACTAATAACTGGTGGTAAAACTCATCCTTGATTGCATCCGGGCTGCAATCTGTCGGGGCATAGGCGGAGATGACGAAAAGACATCGTTTCTCACGCCGATTTCTTCTCACTTTGATGGAACTTTCTAATCTAACAGCACATAACCGACTGTTAATGGGGATCCAATCGACTAGTGCTGCCTCAGCTCTAGCGCTTAGTGCGACACCAACGCCAGCAAGACCAGACGAAGATGCCACAGGGTCCCCGGATAAGCGCACGTAAAACAAGCTTTTCGAAGCGACAGATGGAGATCGAATTTGTAGTACTTCGCCAGAGTCTTGAATACGGGTCTCGGATAGACAACACACGTCGATATTAAGACTTTCCAAAGACATAGCCAGCCCTATCTGTTGTCCGACCTGCATAAATGTGCGAACGTTGAAGGCAGCCAGTTTGAATGGTGCACGTGGTTTCAGAAAATCTGCTTCAGTCCTCGTATTCGGTGGTAACATACAATTTTCAACCGGACAGTGACTCGAGAACGTTTGGATACAGTCGGAATTCCACCAAAGACGAGCCGCTGTATAAGTATAAAAGAGGGTGAATAATGTGGAAAATAATAATAATAATAATAATAATAATAATAATAATAATAATAATAATAATAATAATAATAATAAATAATAGTAGTATTAATAATGACAATAATTGTAATGATAATAATCTGAATCAATTGTTTGTTTTTCAAAGCGAGAAAGGTAATTTCCATAGGCATAAAGAGTTCATCAATTTGTGTGTGGGCTGTGATACTGCCCGGGTGCCCAAACCGAAGCAGGTGGTTATCTTAGGGGGCCACTCCCCGAGCCTTTGACCTAAAGGTCTAACCCACAAGGCAGTGGAGCATCGTAAGGAGATGCAGTCCCATGGTAGCCGGTGACCAACGATTGGTTCATACGCCATTCGTTCCCGCAGGATACTGGAGCCCATGTGCACCATTGGTTTGGAATCCGGTTAAAGCGCCGGACATTCGCTTTTCGTCCTCTCATTTTCGTAAACAACACCCCCTCCACGAGAAGGCAATGAGTAGGACTTCCCTGGCAGAGGCTGTATACGCGTGGCCGTGTGAGAGTATTTCGAGAGGGAGAGCGGACTCTCCCCACTCTCGGCCGTACCAGGGCATTCAGGGGGCTGATAATGCGATACTGTTAACGCTGATAATTGTGTAATTAAATGTTAGTCTTTTTAATTGAAAATATACTAGCATTCTGTATGTCGCCCCCGCCTGTTGTTCTATCTGAATTCATTGAATCACTTCACAAAAACGTATGCCCACCTCTATTATGTATGCTTCGCTTTGGCTTCCAGAATTTTATCATTGGGAAAATTGGTTAGTTAATTGGAATCAGTTAAAATAGAACAACACTTAAAAGTTGACTTATATTACCTTAATATTTGAAAAGGGTAATCGTTCACCACATACTAGTTATTACAACGTTAACATATACACATGTGGTAACTCTATATCATACTATTTTGTGAAATGATGAGCTGTTACTTCTGAGCTGCTAAATCTTCAGTCAATCATAAGAAAACCCAATAACATTGTTTCAAATTCTTTTAAATTGAACTTTCACTACCATTTCTTACAATTTAATTGATGTATTATGAATACCATGACTTGTGTTTGGAGTCCGTTTTATTTTTCTCTGTACATAGCTCATGATCAGTAATACAGATTTATTTTAATGAGCAAAACCTGTTCAAATTCTCATGTTAATAATTTCAGTCCCAAAAGATACTATCGTATCTGATTCTTCAGAAATCTTCAAGTTCTAAAAAATAAATGATAATTCTCAATAACCGCACCAGTCCATTTTGATTATCTGTAGTACTGTGGTGTGTGCCACTTATATTGACATGAGTAGTATATGATGTTAGTCGTGAACAGAAGATCTGGCAGCAGAGACAAGAGGGTCGAACAGTAAAGAGTGGAAACAAAATGCAATTTGTATGAAAATGCAAGAACAATGAAGTATGAGTCATTTTGAGACAATTGGTGGACATTTTGCAAATTAAGCATTTACTTTATGATTGTTAGATTTTATTAACAAGTCCTGTAATTTTGTGTTAAATACATTCAATTGTCCCCACCCGTGTTCTGTTCACTACAGTAATTTAGAAGCTACGATGGCACAACAACCACTTGTCTTGGGTGTAGATATGAAATTTTTGATTCATTTCAGGATACTCGAAATAACATTTTATCGTTTGTAATTCAGAAGTTGCTTGTATCTTAATTTCCAATTAATTTTTTGACTTTAAAGGGTGTGACCATACGTTGTCGTATTACACGAGACAAACGAGGTGTCGATCATGGAATTTTCCCATCATATTATCTTCATCTTGAAAAAGAAGACTGTAAGTTCTTCTTACTTGCAGCCAGGCGTCGCAAGCGATCAACAACGAGTAACTATGTGATTTCTTGTGATGCCACCAATTTATCTCGTGATGCAATTAGTTTTGCCGGGAAACTGCGCTCTAACTTTCTGGGTACTCATTTTACTGTGTACGGCTGTGAATCGAAATTACGAGATAGTGAATCCTTAAATTCAGGGGACAAGGTAAATGATTCTGGTTCGATAACGACAACTACTAAGACACACAATATGCTAGAGCTTGCTGCAATCATATACGTAAGTTTTATTATCAGTACCTGTGGCCCTAATTACGTCACGAATCCTAGAAACTGGTTTTTGATGAGCAATGGTGACCAGCAGAGGAGTAGGTCTATAGATGCTTAGGACCTACCAAACAGAAAAGTGGGATTAATCCATAAATCCGTTGACTGTTGGAAGTAGCCATGTCAAGTGATGGAGGTTTCAGGATAGATTATGCGAATTTCTCCAAACATATGGGTGGGGAACATAGATAATGAATTTTGATTGGTTTCATTTGTCTCATTCCTGTTATATTCCGTATGTTTCGTGTTGTCGATTTCTTGCCGCTCTGTGGACGAGAAAGTTTGGTAAATTGAGCGGAAATACATTGAGTCAAGTTCTCATTATATACTTCAAACTGTCTTAGTAAGCTTGTCACAAATATAACGGATGATAACGAAAACATGACCTTGAAGCAAATGTTCAAAACATGATTAGCAAAAATGTACTAAACACCTTTTTTGAGCTTAACATAGACGAACACTTCTGTATCCCCATTCAGATAAAAAGATACAGTGAACATTATATCTATTTTTCTAGGTACACTCCATAAAGCAGCTTTAACATGTGAATTTCGTAAAATGACAGGATGTTATAGGTAATACTTCAGCCAATAGTAAGTAACTGGTTATTTACTTGTGTAAGTTTTACGAATGTGTATGAATAAAGAAACATTTTATTAGCTAAAACGTTAAGGTTAAAATGACTGTTTTTCAAATATTAAGTGCGATATTGTCTAAAAAGTCTTTAATAATAACTTTTTGTCCGATTAAACATAGAGTCTACTATCAATAAACCAGCTTTTATTCCACAATCCTGGAAGTGATTTTCTTGATATTGTACCTTTACTCGTTTTTCTCAGGATACAAACGTACTGGGTTTCAAAGGACCAAGGAGAATGACTATTATTTTGCCGCGCTTAAGTGCTACTTGTCAGCACTTTTCATGTCCTGGAAATGTATGTCCTTAGTCAATATACCATTTTTTAAAACTCAATATCAAAATAATATTTTTGTGATAATAAAGTTTTGTGCAGGTTGTCATGCTTAAAAATGACACTATTAGCATGCGAAATGTCGGTCTTATTGGAATAACCATTCTAGAGTTAGCTCTTTCAATTCGTAATCTGGTGTCGTTAATTCCCTGTTGAGCTGAGCTCACTCATTTATATTTAAATGGTGGTTAGTGCCACTTTTTTTACCACAGTCGGCTAGTATGTTATAGCAACGAGACATTCGTCGTCGCTGGTGCTCGATATTACTATGTATTGTTGATTTTTCTCTTTACATGAATATAATAATTGTCTAGTCACATCTCGTTTATAAATACTTATATTGAAGTTCTAAATTATTATCTCTGAATTTATACTTACTCATGCATAGACGTATTTTTATTCAGTTATTTGAAAGGTATAACGTAATCGATTTATGCCTATTTTGTTCAATAATCAAAATTTAGTAATGAGAACTGTCATTCTACGCTGCATTGTACGCACTTATTCCTAAAGTAGTTCATGCTTCAGTTTAGTTCCTTTTTATAAACATCTGCGTTGATTCATCAAGCGTGATTTTCAAATTAACAATAACACTGGCATCTTTAATTAGCAAATATTCCTTGTTCATCTAGGATACTACCTGGCTAATCGACTCATGGAGGAGAAAAGATATTCAGAACGTTCTACAACTACAAAACAAGAATCCTGTTTGGAACGAAGGTAAGGCAACATGTATATTGATTCATCCTTCAAAACGGTATTGTCCAAAAAACGGAGCATATTTCTTGTTTATCGTTTACTGGCCTAAAATAGTAAACATTTAATTCCTTGTTGGAAATTAATCGTGATCCAAGCAAAAACAAACTGTGGTCTGTAATCATAAGAACGACTGTACGATTGGGCATTCCTGAGATATAATGTTGTACTTTATGAATAATGTTTATAAAACTTATTTATGAATTCTCTGTCATAATACAGTAGTAGTGTAATGTTGTGATAAACGCTGTTAACTGGTGTATTTCAGTCTATTGTATACGTGAGATGAAATTCAATGAGTCGTTGACCACCTCAAATATATCTGTCAGTATTTGTTTGTATACAGCAAAAGATATCATTCAGGAAATTAGTAATTGAAAAACAAAGACCCCAAACTTTGCGAACCTGTTTATCCAAAAGGTATTTTCACAGCTGGCATAAAAGTGTTAGCTATTGGAGTCCGAAAATTGGGTACAGTAAGGAATCACTAAATATGTTGAACGTAATAGTAATGTTCTACAGCATCTTTTCAAATGGCTTACACGTCAAAGTATTCTCAGTCTGTCAGAATTGATTGACTATCGTCATGATGCTGTAGAATGCTCACCGAAATCTAATGTTCACACTCAGAGCATTTTTATTACATGTATCTTTATTCGTCGTTTTCGGTATATCTATTGATTGTATTGTTTGTCATTCAGGTAAGACTGAAATTCTTTCGTGGTAGGTTCAAGTTCGTAGGATTTCAGATAGAAGTAACGGAAATGCACGATTTCTCTTACCAGTTCAGGGGGGCATTTTATATCTTAGTGTACATGAGAAAGGTTCGAATGGGTCAGAACTGACATCCATAATACCTTTTTCATTTCAGATTGCTATAATTTGTGTAAGGACTGTTTTACCCTCGAAAGTCCTATACAAAAGTATGTTGATTTCTTGGATGACTACTACTACTCCCGGATCTCACTTGCGTATCAAAGGGATGTCAGTAGAACGTTATGGTCTGGGTTTTTGTGTTAGCCAGTCGTCTAAGTGGGTTGGAACTTCATTTGCACCATTCAAATTCACTTTTTTCCCACTGATGGTTCAAAATTTCAGTTGACCAATTCTTCGATGAATCGTTAATTTCCGTTAAACCACTAACAAACTTGCGCTTCCTTTTTCTCGTTTTTGCAGAAAGTATGTCTGTTGGATAAAAGTTGCACTTACTTAGCTAAGGCTATAAAACTTTAGCTGTTTGTAAGTAATTCGATTTAGAAAGTTATATTTCCTGTACAACGTGTTAGGACCGGATATGTTCTTCTACCATGGATTTGCTTTATTCATTATTCCTTCACGTGTTTTCGTAAAAAAGAAGTTAGTGGAAAAAAATCTGCACGTTGTTTATCTCATCAGAACTAAAAACCTTTTATGTGGTTTGAAATGCCAAACCGTTTATTGGCCATCTAGATAATCCATCCTTTAAACTGTTGTCATGAGATATATAAGCATGTGGAACAAATTTTCATGTCTTTGTGAATGTCCTTCTTGACGACTATATTGTTCAGGAATCTCTAACTGTAAGCAAAAAGCAGTCCTACCTATCGAATTCTGATTGCAAGTCCCAAGTAATTGAGAACTAACGGCTGAAATGTTTCTCCAACTTTTTTAATTGTTCGAATCTTCGTGGTAAACAAGCGTAGCTGGATAATAAACAATAATAAGATAATCTCTAAATACTTGTTCATCGTCATTTGTATAGTTATATTAAAGTTATGAACATACTAGGTAGCATATTTGTATGCAGCATAAGTTATTAAAATTGACCGATGTACATATGTGCCTGGTCCTACCTTGTAGCTGACTGACTTACAGTCAAGAGTTATTGAAATCAATATTATGCTCTGTGGGGGCCTGATATGCGTCAGTTTACAGGAGATTTAAGAGCTGATTGTTACTCCTTGATTTATGAGTGGATCTCCAAAAATTTGTAGTTCCCAACGTATCAATAGAAACATGGACTGTGGGACCCTCTCTGATACTTTGCTGAAAGCAACATAAGATACATACGCAGGTTCACTGTTATCTAGGGACTTCATCTTTTAGTGAGGAACGAGTTGTTCTACCGTTTTTATAACGATATGATACGCTGATCATTAATATTTAGGGTTTTAAGATCACAATAGTTTTTCCAAAGGAACTATTTCGTATTCCGATATCGGTTTTCCCAAGCCACACAGTATTTATATTGATGGGTGATGTCTATATCCTATTTTACGGTTTTGAGTGACTGTGGTATCCCTTTATTCCTGTGATAAATTACCCTTATGAAGGGGTCATTTCATCATTGCTGCCCATTGAGCAGCTACGTACATTGTAATTTGGACTGTAGCCCATCTAGTCCTTATTTACTCTCCTGTTTACATATAGCATATTGTTCCTATTAACTTCCATAAAAAGTAAAATATTCTTTACAGTAGCTTCTAGATTGTTTTAGGGATTAACTGATGATCCATCGAACACGATGCGTCCATTTTTTTGGATTGACTTAGATGCTCATATTAAGCAACAGTACTAAGAGTACCAACAACATAATGGCATTCGTCTTTTTGAAACGGTCGGATATACGAAGAATCCGGTCACCAAGTGATTTCCACCATATCAGTACTTTATAGATAAGTGCACCAGCGAAGAGCAGGAGCTGTTTGTAAAGACAACTTCAAGAGCGCCCTAAATACTATCCGTGACCTGAGCAGAAATCTATCGCTTGTCGGAATTTCTAACAAAACCTACACCTATAACAGAAACTAAGGTGAAATAACTGTCTACCTAAGTAGCCTCTGATCCTTACATTGTAGTTCAAAAATGAGTCAACGAAACTGTACAAGTTTATCCATCGCACCTCTAAACATCACGCATGACGGTCGGGCGGAGAATAGTAACGAACAATAAGGAACCCTATCCTCGCATACTGTGTCATTAAACTGAGGCAGATGCTTAACCCTCAAGGTTATCTAGTAAGTGCTATCCCATGTTTTATTTCTTACAATTTCGCTCCTAACATGCTGTTAACCATAAGAATTTAGAAGAATGAAGCTAGTCTTCGTGTCCATTGTTTGTACGACATTTTCCTAACTGACTAGTTTGTGTATCTATTTCATTACTAACAACCCACGATTATTCTTATTGTTAACATTAAATTTAGTTACCGATTCACATTTTCTTAATTGGTAATGAATTTATATTCAATTATAAAGCCTTTCTAACATTCGGTTAAGGTGGAATATTTGTCCCCTTTCGAATTTTCGTCAAGGTTATTCACTTGAGCTGTTTCACTAAGAATCTTATTTACGAAGCTATGATTACAGTGACTTTGTTCACCGAGTTGAAACATGTTAGTTTATCCCAGATGATACCTGTAGCCGCCGTTTACGCACTCAGTTCAACGTATGCATTGTGTTGATTACCAATTGATCTTAAAAGACCCCACTGCCAAGTTGGTTAATATTTACTAATACATAGACTCATTCTTCTTCGCTTATACATTTTCAGAGACCCAATCATACGTGCTCAATTTTCATGGTCGCGTCACGCAAGCTTCGGTGAAGAACTTCCAAATCGTACACAGAAGTGACGGTAAGATTCCAATTACATTTCTAGAAAAGCCTTTCTTGTCAGTCGTATTTCAAAAACTTCCTTGGTGCAATCATGCCACCAACGAAGTCGTGAAGGGATTCGTTGGTTCCATCGTACGAGTAACTTTTTGAGGGCATACATGACCATCCAACCCCATATGTTAAAGTTCAGAAGCAATATTTCTAACATATAACACGACTGTAGGAAATCGAAAAATATCCTTACATTATTGATTTTCATATTGTAGGATTTTCACATGAAAATACACTGTTAGTAATAATACTAGCACGTAATCACACTTAAGTTGGACTACAATGATTCTAACATATTTCTGACAAAGTTGAATGACTGACCGTAGGTGACAACAATATCTAATTTAGCTGAGGTGACCCGACTGCTGAAGAACCGTAGGGGACAGACGCTACTAAAGAAAGTCAGTCGGCGGGACTAAATGGTGTCTTGAGGAATAAGTAACCGAACTTACATGTCGATAATCATATTCATGTCTATTAAGCTTGACGCATTTTCAGTATGGCCGAGGGTAAGGAGAGTAAGCTTTCCCTCTCGAAATTTTCTTATATAGCCACTGTCAAGGAAGTCCTACTCATTGCCTTCTCGCGGTGGGGGTGTTGTCAGAATTTGTTTGCTAGTCTTAAACCCAAATTCTACCGATCAACACTGAAGCTGGAATATCACCTCTCCATCAAAGTTTATAGGTTATCTACAGGTTTGTTTTCTGTTTCGATTGCATTCGAGCTGCAGCCGAGGGTCATGAGTTTCGAACTTTGAAAACGTCGTTTATTCAAACAACGCATTACATATCAACTAGTATCTGCTCTGCAATAGTTCTATAACATAATAATGACCATTCAGAATAAAATATGTTCGTAGACCACTAGTATTCGATCGTAGGTGTTTTCGAAGCATTCCTCTAGTATTTCGTGACCACTGAGTAAGCAATGCTTTGGCTAGAAACACGGTACTAGATTAGGATGGTGAGTCGATTGATGGGGTAGCAAATCTTAAACAGATGGTTGAGACGTGTGACGTAAGCCCAACCACAGCCTACCTCGACGGGAGATGTGTGGTGTGAGAGTAAACCGGAGGAGAGCTAGAAGTGGACCAATTGAAAGCATGACATCAATCCATAAAATCATCGACAACTGGATGGTTGTATAGACTACCTGGTTGGCGTCCACCTGATTGTCGTAACTAATAGTTACAGACTTGGAGTGACATAGCTGGAAACCGTTAGCAGTGGCACACGTGCATCCATTCTTTGTCTTCCTTCAATTCTAAGCTTTTGGATTCCGTACAACTTTTCTATTTCACTAATTTATATTTCCTTCAGTTCCTGATTGTTCGGTTACTAATGATACTGTTACTAACACTATTCTGAGATTCGACTTGACAACTTCATCTCCGTGTTAATGAGGTGTGGTAACTTGGACCGATGTACATACGTACCAGGTCCCACGTTATCACAGACCGACCACAATATAATGGTTTATTTTACTATTGAGAACTTGAATTATTTTGAAATGAATGTTGCGCGTTAACCATGGGTGGATATGTTAAATTTGGTATACGAATGGACACCATTAGATCTATAGGTATGTTAGTGGCTGGCACCACCACTGTTTGCACAATCGAAAGTTATTTCTCGTCAAGCTTGTAACAAAAGAAACTGGACTAGTTTTGGTATTCTCACCTTCATGGTCTCGTTTTCCGTTATCAGCATCACTGATAATTTGTTTACAAGAACTGTAATACAACTACTCAAACAATTATCTGACGACGATGCTTTAGCTCTAGATTTTTAATTCTTATTATTTTGAGAATTCATGATATAAACGTTGTAGTATGTATCATATTGCGACATGGTAACGGCCGTGACAGATTTTACGTTACTTTTGTCACCAAACTGCTTGATTTCTACCAACTTAATTCAGATGTCATCAACTTGGACTGTCCAAGTATATATACTGACAACAAATTGTTTTGTGTTTTCTTTTTTAGATGAATACATACTTATGCAATTTGGACGTATCTCTGAGGACGTCTTCACAATGGACTATACGTATCCTATGTGTGCCCTACAAGCATTTGGGATCGCTTTATCTTCCTTTGATAGTAAATTAGCATGCGAATAGTTATCTTTGCATTTATTACGAATTATGACTTTACAAGCTTTATGTAGACTACTAAAAATGGAGTCTACTTATTTTTTGCCAAATTATGTACTTTCCTACAGCACATACCAAATTCTCAATATGAAATATTCAACCTTCAGCAACCTCAATAGCCATAAGTTCTGCCGTTATTTCACTAAAATATCCGATTTACATAGTCTGTAACAACCGATTTTACATCCACTTATATTTGTACATCATGTAAACCTAGATCTGAACACAAAGATCCTATTGTTGAAACATGGGTAACTATAAAAACAACTATTCTAAAGTAATACTCAGTAGTTTAAAAATTGTTTATAAATGTTTTCTAGTTATCTAATTTGGTTTCCAGTAACTCTTCTTACTTGATCATACACTACGTCAAATAGTATTTGCAATAGACATACGATTGTAAAACGGTTTAGTTTACACAGCTAATTTTGAATCCTAATTGCTTTTAATGGTTAACTATCGTCTGGCAATTGCATTGACGAATTAAAGATCATTGTATTTTTTCGGTTTACTGTGAAAAACGAAGATGTTAGTTCTAAAATGTAAAATAGCATGAAAGTACAAAAATGTATTAGGTTGACATTTCAACCCATTAGTTTGAATATCGCTAAAGAGTATTGAAAAAGAAAGCTTTAGACTTGCTCGACTATTAAGCTGAGTAGTAAAAACTGCTTTAGTTTTTCTGTAGTTGCAGTGTTAATTTAGAGATATTTTCGATGTACATCGGTATGCTCCACATACAGTCTCCATTTGCTTCGGTGTCTAACACAATAACAACTAGATGCTATAAACTAAACATTAGTAACGTCTACCATAATACTTACATTTAATATAGAAACAGTTAGGAATATTCTCAAGTTGCTTTACTTCATGAGGAAGTTGATACTAATAAGGAAACTAATAAATCCCGAGTTGTGATGGCTATAATGTCAACTAACTGGGCTGGAAAATGATTTTTCAATGAAATTTGGATTTAAAACCTACCTCACGATAAAAGTTCGGGGAGTATCACTACTCTGACAATAACTACAGTAACTTATTGGTCAGAATACTAGTTAATACAGCTACATAAGGACCAAAACCGACCGATTTTCGACTACCCTAAGGACTTATGTCCGATTGCTGACAGTACACTTCGGTGACGTCGTTTCAGATATGGCAATTCAAAATATTTGTCCAGTTCACTGCCTCGACTATTATGGCTAGTATATTATGCGGCGATACAAATATTACGTGGCGATAAAGTAATGTGACCAAGATTATATATGTATATATATGACGTAGGCTAATCATAATTTAAACCATTAGCAAGCTGTTCGACTACCCGTATGAACAAATATCTGAACCCATGAACTTGAGGAAAAAACGTCTAATTGCAAGACTATGACTGATTAGGCTAAAATGTAGTTACACACTGCAAAGTAGGTTTATTATCTCACGGATAACCAAACTGTGTGCAGGCTCATAACTCCTACGACTGAAATATTAAAAGATGATGACAAAAGATGCAATGAACTCACACTGAATCTTTTTGCGACCTCAGAGAGCTTGTTCGACCCGAAATCAAAGGCGTGCTTAACGTTAGATACAGAGCCACTAGGGAAGGAAACAACGGTTGCAACAGAACCACATATGGATGCGTAAACCAACTTGCGAAAAGAACGGCCTGTAAAGATTAGCTTGAAAACACAACTGAACTTACTTTTATATCCAAGAACCCAGCCTCCCAAACTACAACTAACAACGAATCCTAGACGAGCTAATACAACAGGTTCATCCTTTATTACTTTGGTTATAGCTAATTCCGAAAATATGTAACATGAATGACGTACATGTGGTGAGATTTCTAATGCTTGATTGGTACTTTAATGCGTGTTTCTGAAGATCAGTAAATTGAAATCTGGGACGAACATTACCATCGAGTACGTAAATAGTTCTTGAGCTTCTGTCCTTATAGGACTAACAGAGTTCATAACAGTATTTGTAACTGGGTTTGGCTCTAATCTCTCAAGAACATACGTCTTACTGTCGAGACACTCAGTATAGATTGGCAACTAGGGTACGTTAAGGAAAAAAAGTCTAACCTCATCCAACTTCATGATTACCGCCGAATTCTGCGAACTCAACACTGTTAAAATAGTCGATATAAACAGAGTACATAAAACTATTACCTGTAAGTGTTGTATTCTTTGCACGCGCTTCGTTGTAAAAAATCACATTAGCGATTGTTAGTTTGATTTATTCATTTTTCCCATGTTCTTTTCAATGGACTATAGGACTGTTAGGACTGAGAATATTATATTACCAGTAGTTTAGTTAATCTCAGTCAGAGTAACGGGATATGAAGAATATCTGATTAGGTGTTAATGAAAAGTGAGGCAGGATTGAAATGATAATTAAGACAAATACGTAAGTGGGGAGATATGAAGTAATATCAACACATGTAACATTGGGTGGGGGAGGGTGGTCACTCCAACTTTATCCTACTCTGTGACTTCACTAGTCATCCCACCTGGCTGAGGGAAGTTCGTGTGCTTTTGTATGCTCATCTAATATTTGCTTGCAACGGTCCATCGAAAAGGCTATAGGTAAGATGGTTATGAGGACGTTTCATGTAGAACAGATACATGATGCATAAACTGGGGTGTTACTTTGGTATTTTCCTATTAGTGGACAACCCTGTTAGGATTTTCAAGTGCGTCACTATGATGACGCTCTGGTAAGATTACCTTACTGTAATGGTCGGAGCAGGTTGTGATGTCACCCTTCTGTCTTCTGTAGGTTAGTGATTTTATTTATTTAGATACACAAATATTGGCAAAACTGAGCACCAAAGTAAATCGCTCACAGACAACAGTCCTAACTCTCTCATCGAATTCCCAGATAATAGGGGCCCTGGAATCACAACCCCTTTGATCGTGTAACTCTGTACTATTTCTTAATTTCGAACTATCAATCAAAGTCAAGTTGCGAGAACCTTCTGAATGCACTAGGATGTATTTTAGTTAAATGGAATTCGGTTACCTACCGAAATATTACAACGCAGGTTGTGCGTAACTCGATCAGATAGCTAAAATCGTCTTAGAAGTAAATCCATTGATGAGATGAAAATATTCAGCTATTCGTGTCTACCCTGGAGGTACTATGAGTACTGGAAAACGTGCAGAGAATGGTGGAAATTTGGAAGGATAAGGAACAAGAGATATGAGCCAAAAACTCAGTAAGCCCGTACATAGGATGCAGTCAGTCTTCAAAGTAAGGGTAAGAGGTCAAGTGACCCATGTTAACTATTGGGATTTATAGTACTGTGAAGATACAATATCTCTTCGAATGTATCAACAAGTTCTGATACTACGTTTTCTGTCAGAGAATTCCAGTAATTAACAACTCCAGATTTAAACGATTTGATCTTGGTTTGGAACTATCTGAGAATATCCTTTCAGACTACCTGAAAAGAAAGATAAAACATATTAATACAAAAACCAATGTTCAGTACATTGTAATACGTCACCCCACGATCTACTGTCGGATAACAGAAATGGGTTGAAGCGTCCCAGCCTGTTGAAAAGACAAGTCAGAAAGACTGCAATTTCGGTTCCTCGTCGTTGAACCCGTCGCAGAATATCCATCTCATATTTGGAACAACGATTTGTTGACTGAACTCGGTATTTCAAACGAGGTCTCACATACGTCGGGCAGAATATCCTAGATATATTTTCCTCCAAGTTATGACAGGCTTTACGGATTACCTACAAAATAAGGAAACTTTTGGCAGCGCCCATCTTAGTTACCCATGATTCTGTGCCCATTAATTGCTGTGGCTTTTAAAATAGTATTATTGATGTTGGTTGAAAGCACTTCATCTATTATCTACTTGCATAATTCGTCACAACAATCTATTTACCATGAGCATGCTAGAATTTACTGCTAACAAACACCAGTCTCCAGCCTTCACATATTCTTGCAATAACAAGGTGATGTTTACTCTCACACGTTGCCTCCTATCACTAAGAAATTCATCAGTCTGATCTTGATGTATAATCCATTACGAAGCCTTCCCACTTTGCTCAAAGACCCAAATGAGAGATCTAATCAAAGTCTTTACTGAGGTTCATAAAAATTACATCTACCGGAATATTTTCACCTTTTGCTAAAGCCGAATCTAATTTCGGAATCAGATTAGCCAAACATGAAAGATGTGTTCAAATATAATAAACAAATAACATGAAAGACGTGATCTAACAGCCTGTTGTCCTTTAGACAGAAAAACATTCCTTCCTCATGACGTAGAACACCAGCCCAAATAATATTTTTCATTTATTTTACCAAAATAATAGTAAAGTTAACCTAGTGGTAGTTATTGTTAGGAATAAAACAAACATACAAACTAGGAGTGAGTAATATTTTTCAGTCAAGTCAATTAATTTATTTACTATGAAAATCATACTACATGTTAGATTATTGACTAGCTTTAGTTACTTCCGTCCAAATTTATTCACCGACCGAACATTTAAAATGATATGTAACTCTCATTGTGAATGTATTAATTAGTAACTGCTGAATAAAGCATCCTTCTGTAGTCTTATTTTCTTTCTTGTTACCATACCAGTCTTGTTTATTTCAATAAGTAGCGAGTGGTAGTTTGTAGTCACACTAAACAGTCTCCAGACTACTCGTTCTGACAGACCCGTTTTCCTCTTGATCCTATCTTCCAGTTACACCGGCGTATTGCTATTATCTTTATCCTGAGAACGAGTTAACTTGAGACTTTGTTACTCAAACCCTAGGAACCTTAATAAGTATACGTGGCGGGGGATCAGTACTACCATAGGCTCTCTTGCTTAAACTTATTAGTTTTTGACATGAGCACCTGATGAATAAGTCGGGAATATGAGACAGACAAACAGCTCAACTTAATATGAAGCATATGAAAGTCTGGATTCAGGATCCGAGTCACTCGACCCCTCCAAGATCCACGCAATAGTATCAGGAACAATTTGACCTTTCCTTCTTTGCCTCTTTAATGATTTCTATTCACCATCAACTGGAACTTTCATGATATGACCTTTCAGTCACTAATATATTTAGATTCTCTGTCGAAATGACTCGTGATATAACCTTCACATGAGATTAGCTTGCTGTTCTATAAGAGTTCGTTCTTTATCGAAGGCTCTCGGTTTTGTAGCGCTTATCGTAGTTTTACTAACGACGATAAAATAATCTTTGTTATCTACACTAGAATTTCTAACCAGAGCCTCCTGGATCAGTAATATTTTACACGAATAGAAAAACAAACAGCTACAAGCACTGGTTATATGCAGTATAAGAGCGGACTTGTGAGTCTTTAAACTACCTTGTCGGATTTTATCAAGCTATTGAGAAGGCAGTAAGTATAAATGAATAGCTTAGCATCTCCGTTATAGAACTTAAGATATGGATAGAGATCGGAACTAAGAATTAGGACTTATGTATACATAAATGATGTAACCAAAATTCGGTGAAACTATAACTATATATTTGGCCAGTTACTTTTTTTTCCGTTTTTGTATTGATCCTTGCACGTCAACACAGTGAATTAGTCTAGGTTGTATTTTTCAAGCCGAGTCCGGAAAAACACACTTATATACAAGGTTAGCAGATAAACTTCTGCACTAGAAGTTACATTTTCACTTGATACACTATACAACTGTGATGCCGGTCTATGAGTAAAATTATAGAATTTTGACCTGAATAGCATTAGTACTTCGGAGAGCCTAGTCAGTCGAAAATCTCTAGTCTGGTCCGTCGTTGAATGATAGTTGATAGATAAACTCATGACTTCCAGTTAAGTTATAAGAAAATAAATACTAAAAGTCTAAAATAGAAATTTCATTCGTAAAGTCCGCAATATCACTCTATGTATAGGTCTAATAATAATTGGGATAGCAGTTTTTATGAAAAATCTTCAATTTTTGGGTTTTCTGAGCGCAAATTTCAATGTACCATGTGAAGCAAGATAACACTCAAAAGTCCAAAAGTATGAAGGAACCAATGCCAAACTTTGGTTGGAACAAAAGCACCAGAAAACTAGTAAAACGGATGAAACTCTCAACAATTTCTGATAGCCCGTTAAATGTCAGGTTATTGACAGGTTATTGAAAAACATCAAGCAATAGTAGGACAATAGTTATGTAGACGGAAAACAAACGATAATAATGTGTTCTCAAATAACAATGTGTCATGTAAGTCATTGGATTTTACAGATAAGATTGAAGTGTTACAAATGATGTAGAATGTTTGTATATAGGTTGGTGAGTTAAGCTGACACGCCACAAGACACCTCTGTTATAGAAACAAGGGGATAAGTTTGGGTATATTAAAATATGAATGATGTCGTTAAAACTCGAATATTCAATGTAACATTTTACATGCTTGCTGTGCATTTGTATTTAAATAGGTTAAGGAAGACAAGTCACAATTATGGAGGCGGATGAATCAAGAAGTGTATAAACGGAAGAGATTCTATATAATTGTAAATCTCATGATTGTGTACAAAACACTTTAAAGTCTAAGAACAGGATTATCGTGGTAATAGTGATTATGGTATCACAGTCGCAGGTATGAAGTTATAGTCTTTTCCACAGTAATCTGTGTGGTACTGTAAAATCTGGCAACTCACTGCTTTTTTGTGTCTTACAGTTAGCGGTATACATAAGTCGTTTTTTATTTGTGGGCAGAGTCATGGACCATATATTATCCTGTAGAAAAATATCGGTTTGTTTCTTAGTTGACAGCGCCATTAAAGTTGAACTTAAACCCATGTCCTAGCAGCTGACAAATGAGGCTTCTCTGTATATCGTCTACTTATATCTTGTCTATGGTATCAATGTTTGAGAAGACAAATGAGCAGTATTCAAGGAAGGGTCGTATACTTTTGTGCTCATCCTCGATTACGAAGGAATTTTCGATGAAATCCATTGGTCTTCTACATTTA